CCCCCCCCTAATTAAGGCAAAAACAAGAAGAAACATTAAAAAATTGCATGTCAAGGAGGATTGCACTGCATGCCATCACTGGTGCAGACATTTGTTTACCACTTTTGGTTTCTCAACAATAATTGCTGTCATGGTCTGAATGGCATCTAGCTGGCTTCTTAAAGCAGACTGGTCCACCATGTTCATCCGCAGCATACCTTCTGTATTTTTGCCCGTTTGCAAGTAAGTCAGTGCTGTAAGCTTGGTCTGAATTGTGTAAAGGGTTTCATAGTAACCATGGTTACAATGCTACAAGTGTCCGATATCAGCATTTTAAAAATGCAAGCGCTAAACTAATGCATAATTCAGATCTGAAGTGAAGCCTGATACCTCCTCTAATTTTGTAATGACAGAAACATATATTTTTTAATGTAGTGATATGAGTTAAGGATAGATACATTTCTGGCCATACATATGTAGACACCTGCATATGTACATGCCTTCAAAGAGAGACACTGTGCAAATGCAATACAAACCCACACATGTACCACAGTGCCAAGAGCATCACCTCCTACTACTACGCTCATACAATTTCGGCTGATGACTAATGGATACAAATAATTTTAAATAATATTTTGTTTAAGTATTTAAACATTTACAAATGCTTGGTCCTATTACGTCCTTTTTTGGGTGGCAACACGTGATTGGAATATAAAGTGCGTGTTGGTCATTTCATATTAATATTAATAATAATATGGCTGTTTGCTCAGCATATCTGCCCTGACTGACTATAAATACATCTGTCATCTATGCCAAAGTGGTACAACAGATTAATGAATCAAACTAAAAGCTACATTGTACCCTATTTTATTAGCATTTCCCAAAAGCCAACGGTGAAAATACAGAAATCTGGCACACCACAAGAGTTCAACCAGTGATTCAAAGAGAAACACAAGAAGAAAAAAATCATCCATCCATAATCACTGTAGTCATGCACTATTGTTCAAAAGGTTTGGGTTGGTAAGATTTTTTTTTTTAATGTTTTTGAAAGAAGTTTCTTATACTCACTAAGGCTGCATTTATTTGTTTAAAAAGACCATAAACAGTAATAATAATGTGAAACATTATTACAATTACAATATATATTTTTATATATTTTAACATGTAATTTATTCCAGTGATTCAAAGCTGAATTTTCAGCATCATCACTCCAGTCTTCTTCAGTGTCACATGATCCTTCACAAATCATTTTAATATTTTGATTTGGTGCTCAAGAAACATTTCTTATCGTTAATGTTGAAAATCCTTGAGCTGCTTAATATTTTTGTGGAAACCGTGATACATTTCTTTAGGATACTTGAATGAATAGAAAGTTCAAAATAATGGCATTTATTTGAAATAGCAATATTTTACAAGCAACATTAGAAATGTTCAATAAAGAAATTAGAAATTGCTAAATAAAACTATTAATTTTGTTTAAAAAAAATCTTTGAGCCCAAACTCTTGAATGGTAGTGTACCTCAATGAAAACTATTCACAGCAGTTTTTTATTTATTTATTTTAATTAGGATATTATTAGGGAAACGCAGGGTATTTCAGAAAATAATCTAGAAAAGCAAGTTAAATTGATATGATCACTAAAAAGACATCAACATAAACCAATGTAAGGAAGGATGAAGCTCTGCACTCTGGCTTATACTGTGTAACTTCCACATCAGCTTTTGTGGACACAGCAAATATCACGCAGTGTGTGTGTTTCCTGTAGAGCAAAGACAACTGAGATCTGTGTGAGATTGTAAGATTGTGTGTGTGTGTGTGTGTGTGTGTGTGTTGAAAGGACGGCAACAGGAAAGCTAAGTGCTATAGAAGTGACCAAGGAATGCAGTGATATTAAAAAAATACAATAGGAAAATAACAACAAACTCAGGAAAATGCTTTGGGCGTCTACTCCTTGTGTGTGTGTGTGTGTGTGTGTGTGTGTGTGTTGAAAGGACGGCAACAGGAAAGCTAAGTGCTATAGAAGTGACCAAGGAATGCAGTGATATTAAAAAAATACAATAGGAAAATAACAACAAACTCAGGAAAATGCTTTGGGCGTCTACTCCTTGAATACCAGCACAACAAAATGCCGGTTTGTTCTGTGATTGGTTCATGCAACCCACATGACTTTTTTTGTGCCTAACCTTTAAACACAAGTCCAGTTATAAATGTCTTCACACAGCATTTTACTTTCACTTCATTTTGTTCAGTTACAGCCTATTGGACTATCATTTTATACTTAACATGAGGGCAATAGACTTTACTTGGGTTAAACTATTTTAAAATCGTGAGTAAAGGCTAGCTTTAACCCTGGGTTAAGCAACGTTTCACACTTGTAACTTAAAAAGTAAACAGCGTAAAACAATGAAGTGCCAGAATCACAAGAATTACAGCAAGATGATTAGCAATAGACAACCAATCATAAACTGCCTCAAAGTCACAGGAAATGTCATGCTGAGTTTAGTCTCTAATATTCAATTACAAACATAAGACCACATAATTGTCACATTTACTCTCTGAAAAACAAATAATAACCCACAATGACATTGCCATAACTACATCAAATATCTGTGACCTACTATGAATCCATGACGTTAGCAAAAGAGAAGTTCAGAGAAGTTGGATAAACGTAAGACATACAGCAAATGAGGAACAAAACATGCCATTTGAAGTAGCTAATTTGAGCATAGGAAAATGCTCACTGTTGTGTTATGCCTTTGTGTATGTTTCTTTGAGGGGGTTTAATGATCTGACTTTTTGGTCAAACCAAACAGAATTCATTTTTGAAGCCAAAACACACAAGAAGAGACATGAAGGTTCAGATGTGTGTGTTTGGCTTGAATGTGTGCATAATGTGTTTGTTCATGCAGCTGGTCTCACAAACTGGGTGAGGTTCCCAGTGCAGAGACTATATGCAAAGACCCTGACTGCAATCATACACACACAGACACACAAGTTTACTTAGCTTTCGAAATGAGGGCATTCCATTGGCTTCTACTGTCGTTATATACAGTTAGTTTATAAATACTATAAATATATAAGTATTTGGCACTGTGATGAACATCATAGCAAATACACAAATCTGAATGGCTATTTAAATCATTTAAACATGATTCAGAAACAGGAAGTAGTGCAGCTGCTTTGTTTACATGGTTTCCGGGGTAACGGCTGCATTTAAATGAATTATTATTATTATTATTTCTGCAGTTTAGCGCCATCTGCTGTCAGAGAGTGAAAGTGCGCTTTCATCCAGAGCGTCTCTCACCCATCTGCCATCAGTGGTTCAATCTGAATTTTATGAAGCGACGAGAATACTTTTTGTACGCGAAGAAAACAAAAATAACGACTTTATTCAACAATTAGTCTCCTCTGTGTCTCTCCGCATCACCGTAGCGCCATTTTGGAGAATATCCACAGAACACAAGCAGCGTACGCTCTTCTGTGTCAGCCGCGACACAAGGATACGTTTTATACGTGTACTATTTACGCTTTGATTTGAACGAAAACAGCGCATCCGTGTGGCGCGGCTGATTCAGGCACCGGTACCATTTTAAAAATATCGATTTGGCACCGGTATTGTAAAACCCAATCGATACTCAACCCTAGTTTTTGTGCGTGTATATATATATATATATATATACATATTTTGATTTTATTTATTTTGATTTATTTATTTTTCCTTTTAATTTTGATCTCTGTTGCTTCTTTTGTAAAGCACTTTGGAGCAACAATGGTTGTGTTAAAGTTGTGCTCTATAAATAAAGTTTGACTTGACTTGACTTGAGTTTGACTAGGGCGCGAACAAACATCCCTAGTATTTCCTAGTAAGAATAGCATGAAAAATGCATATTTTTGTGTATTCAGATTATGATGATTAAATGGATACAGGAATACCCAGCAGAAATATTCAAGAAGCATGTAAAAATATTTTTAAAATGTAATCAGAAAAAGACATGCACGTGAATATGATCAATAAGTGTTCTCACATTTTACACTCTACAAATGACTAACATAACAATACATTTAAAAAAAAAATAGTTCCCATCAAGACCTAGACAACTAGAAACTAAAGGGAATATCTACTGTATGACTCAACCAGATACACATTTCCGTAAGCAGGTGTCTTCTGACTGTAACAAGTCTAAACTTCCACCAACAAAACCAACAGAGGAGAATGTGAGATCTCAGCAAAGGTCAAAAGCTCACTAGAAAAATCACACGGTGCTCTACAGCAAGAGAGGAAATCTGCGGTTAGATGTGTTTGACTGCGGTAAACAAGACTGAGAGGTTTCCTTCAAACACCCCTTTGTTGTGGGAGGTTCAGGGTAAGTTGTCACACCTGTGGGCGTCAGGCTCTGGAGGGCAGCGAAGATTGATTTTAAGACATGATGATGTCATGGCAGAAAAATATCAAGACTATTTTGACAGTCTGACCTTCCCTGCATTAATTTCGTGAGCTTGACAGTTTCAGTGCAGTGAAGAAGTGTGGTTCTCTGTGTGTGGGGTATATGTGTCTATGTCTGTGCCCTGCATTACAAGCACACAGCTGATCATAGGCGTCCCTGTTTCACTGAGCCCTCAACACAAAGACCTGATTGAGAACAGGACTCCACAGCTCTGCAATCCCTCATCTCTCTTCATCTCCTGTTTTGACAGTCACGGTTTCCAAATGAACACTTTCTCACCCTGCTCAGCTCAACACTTCTGCCAGTCAGATGCTGTTTAATGGTTAAACCATGGCCATTTACGGTACATGACAACAGAGGAATCTTCCGGGATGCTTTAAAACTGTGTCAGGCTTTATCTGTTCTGCAATGACTGCAAATATCCTCAATAACTTTTATTGTACAATGGGGAATTTGTCATTATTTGAAAACTGACTTGAATATTGATGTCTGGATTGTAAGAGGTTATAAAGATAGACTGTGCATTATCACACCTGAAAACATACGCCTTCATTCTACTTAAAGTGATAATGCACTTGAAAATGAAAATTCCATCATCATTTACTCACACTCATGTTACTCACTCTCTCTTTCTTCTGCTGAACACAAAAGAAGACATTTATAAAATATTATAAAGCCTATAGTAAAGCCATGGCAGTACTAACCATAACCATAAAAAGTAATTAAAATTAAAAATATCACCATAAGGTATACTATGGAAGAGAAGGGGGTAATTATTACATGGCTAACATATTAGTTATACTGTGTATATAACAATAAAAAACAACTTTATTAGACATCCTGGCCTCCGGTCTAACGTCATTACGGAAGAACTAGAGCAGGATAGCATTGTGATTGACAGCAGTGACATCCAATGTTGTTGCAGAATAGGATCGTTAACATTCCAAGACGTTGATCGACAGCCAATCAGATTGAACGGAGGTGGAACGTAGTTGGCTGTCCGTGTCAGATGGATGTAATGAGGCCCAATCCCCGGTCTAGCTGGACGGCATTCTCCGACAAAAGTGAATTGTACAATGGGGAATTTGTCATTATTTGAAAACTGACTTGAATATTGATGTCTGGATTGTAAGAGGTTATAAAGATAGACTGTGCATTATCACACCTGAAAACATACGCCTTCATTCTACTTAAAGTGATAATGCACTTGAAAATGAAAATTCCATCATCATTTACTCACACTCATGTTACTCACTCTCTCTTTCTTCTGCTGAACACAAAAGAAGACATTTTGAAGAATGCTGGTAACCAAACCATTCTGGTGTTCCTTGACATGGATGGACAAAAACATTCTAAAAAATATCTTCAATTATATGCCACAGCAAAGTCGTACAGGTTTGGAATGACATGAGGGTGAGTAAATTATGAAAGAATAATACGTTTTGGCTGACTATACCTTTAACATCCCTTGTTGCGTTGTATTAAAATAAAGTCACACAGGTTTGGAACGACATGATGAGGGTGAATAAGTGATGGCAGAATTTTTGGTGATGCATCTCTTTAAGAAGCAAATATGTCTAATAAGGTGGCATGTTTTCAGGTAACAACAAATATTAAAATGAAATCACTATGAACAGCTTGAGCACTTTAAAAAAATTAATCCCCGGTCTAGCTGGACGGCATTCTACGAGAAAAGTGAGGGGGCCAACAGGCCAGTAGGCTCTCGTGCTTGCCTCGACCATGTTTTACCGGTATTATCCCAACAACGGCCGGCGTGAATAGCCCCAGAAATCAAGCATATTATACCAATTTAAAGAATGACATTCGAGTGGAGCGGAGTTGTCTTTAACCCGCAAAGCCAAATAAGAGCACAGCATAAGCAACCTACCCAGAAATTTTCCAGGAAATAGGGCGTTATCATCTTGCTGTCCTTCCTTCTTCACAGCGGCGCTTCTCTTTATTTGAATTGCCTCAGTTGGCACAGTTAATCCACCGTCCTCCCCCCGTTGTTGTTGTGTCTGGTGGTTTTTCTCTTTTTTCCTGCTCTTCTGCTGGGTTTTCCTCCCTCTGAACACGACTCCACCTCCTCACTTGCTTTTCACCCCCTCCACTTGTTCAGTATATTTCATTGAGGGAATTATGAAGAAACAGTGACGCCAGTGGCGGTTTCAAGAATTGCCACAATTCCCATAATGCAATCGCGTAATGCTCATGCCCCACTGTAAAACTCAGTTCTTTGGTGTAGTGACTCTTTCCTGCCATATTCATATGGAATTATATTACGAAATGCGCTAATATTATAAAAGAGATGTTATTATATGTTAATAAGCTACTGCTGTTCTTGGACACTAAGTATATATATATATATATATATATATAAAAATTGTGTAGCAGGTACATATTTGATCTTAAAGATAATCCAAATGGATAATTTGAATTTACTTTGCACTTAATAAATATAAAAAATTTAATAAAAAAAAACTTCCACAAAATTTGAATCAGACTGCATTTCCAAAGTTGTCAATATACCTTCATATTTAATACCTTTGAAATTCATTAGACAAATAATGTAATCAGTGATTTTTGAAAAGTGTTTATTCTTATCAATGCACAGATCCAAGCAGTGAAACAAACTCACGTCCATAACAATGTCATACAAATATCATTACAAAATTTCTACAGTACAATATATATTCTTTGCATGATCCAAAATATTTGGTGGCCCCTAAAAATGATTACTTTCTATATTTGAATCTTTCTTCAAAATCAGATTATAAAATAAAAGTGGAAAAATCACTATAAATTAAATTGCTCTCGGACCAGAAAAGGGAGCTTTTGAGCAAAATTTGACTTCATTATAACATTTTCTTGATTTCCACACATAGAACTATACAGGTGCAGTCTGGGGTGGGGACACAACATTTAGATTTTTACATTTTGTACTACACAAAAAGAAAAGACGACAAAACAATTAAAAAAGTAAAACCATTAGATTCATTACTCCAAGTCTCGTGGCCATATTTATACCCCCACCCCCGAAAAACTTCAAGGCGGTACAGTATTTACTGCATTTATATTTCATAAATAACGAATGTTCACATACATAAGGGCCAGTTACTTCCATTTTATCCCCACATGAAGTATCCTATTTAAGTGTCCATTAACGGATATCTCCTCTAATTAAAAAAAAAAAAAAAAAGTTTTACATTCTTTTACGAGGAGACAGTGACAAAAATATGCCCGTTAGAAAGGATATTCACTAGCAGCTGAATGGATTACAGTGAATTGCTCTATTATTATTATTATTATTATGAAACATGGGAGCCTGAACAGTGGGGAAAGGCATTCATAAAAAATAAAAAAAAACACCTTAAAAAACACACAGCAAAGAAAAAAAAAAAAAGGGTAAACATACCTCCTGAGGTCTCTACAACATAAAATATTCAAGTAGAAAAACTGGAAATCAGAAAGTGTGACTCAGGAACATTAAAGCCTCGTACAGAAAAATAGAGCAGTTGTTTGAACCATTCAAACATCTTCACTATGTTAATATGGAGTCTTCCCTCTCAATTTGCGCATGCTAACTAAAAATAAAGTTATGCAGTTATTCAGATTTTTATTCCTTTATCTTTGCATCACTGCCGACCAAAACATTTGCAAAGATGAAAACCCTTTCACTATCAATCATATGAGAGGACTTACATTTCTACAGTTACGTTGTGTTACCTTTTAGACAGAGCCTCTAAAATATGGTACGTTTTTAGCATTTACTGTCTTTAAATATTTACCGTCTACTGCTGTGCATAGCTGGCACACAAAACACGGTCTGCACACTTTCATGCAGTCGAGCTATACCCTACATCACCCCATGCATAGGACTTATGCTTTGCGCCCAGTTGAGATTTACGTCACACCCACCCCTAAATGATACAGTCCAGAAAATAAACAAAACCTGTTTTTTTAGAAGCTTCAGAGCTTGTCTCCAGGCACTTTCCTACGGAGTTTACACATATCTTCGTTTCACTGTTTTTTTGTTTTTTTTTAACCACTGGATGTCCCATTACATTAAGTCCCCTGGTGAATGAACGCTAACTATGTATTTTGTTTTTGCCCTCATGGCTGATTGTTATGACATGATGAAAAAGCTTTCCTCCCTATATTAGGTTTGGCTTGGCAAGGTGTCGTCGACTAGTGCCTCAGCTAACACTTCCCTCCCACCCTGTCTACAGGGGTCCAGTGGGCCGTATGGCTCCTACCCCTGCTAGATCACCCTTCCCCCCAGGAAAAGGGCAAAATATGCCCTGGGTATCAGAGGTTCCCATCCTCTCCCATAGTGAATAAGCTGCAGAACAAGAGAGAAAGAGATCAGATTAGAATCATTTTACATGTACAGTATCATTAGTAAATAGATAACATATTACAATAATGATCAATCAAGGTTCATTTTAATGTTCGTTTATAAATTGTTCATTAGATAATGCATTATTAATGAACATGAACGAACAAATTAACAATGTTAATTTATACAACAAAAAAACTATTACTACTGTTACTATTATAACATTAGCCAACTATTAGCCAATACTGTAAAAGTTTGTTCATGTTAATTAGTAATTACAGGCCAAAAACCTCTGAATAATAGTGTTTATATATATATATATATATATATATATATTGCATGTTACTGTGCACAGTGGCCTAGTTATAAGACATTTTCTTTTATATAATACACTTTTAACTACTGTTATGATGAATGCTTGCTAAATTTGAGTATAGAAAATATACACTCAAATTTAGCAAGCATGAATATATACTTCATGGCAAAGAAACTGCTTAGAAAATCTCATGGAAATGTACCTCTTCAATCAGGTAACATCTACACCCCATAGAAGGCTGCAAGTCTCTCTTTGAGTGGAAGGGGAAACTGGTCAGAAAAGTGTATCCAATTCTCATCTCCAACCTGGTTCTTAAACCCATGCAAGATCTAACAGGGAACACACACTTAAGTATGAGGCATGCATCCATAATCATCTTGAAGGTTTTCCCATCTCACAGCGCTCTACCTTATAGAACATTTCTCGAAGATCGTCTTTTGGGTTCATCCAGGATGCAACAGCGTCACAGAAAAATATGAAGTCCTATAAAGTGGTAAAGAAAACAAAGAGGATCATTTTCAATTATCAAAGCACTCAGAGAGACATCAGTCAGAATAATGTGCTGTACCTGCACCACACCACCAGGGTTGACCGTGATCATGGTGCAGATTCCTCTGAACGCAGAGTCTTTCTCTTCATTGTCTCTTATATTGCGCAGAGAGGTGCACCTAGTGAAGGGAAGAACCAGTTTTCAAATAACAAGCCTGTACGGTTAGTGTGCATGTGGATTAACACATACTCAACACAATATCATTGACTACCACCTCAGAGCACCTTGGGACTAGCAAACGTTTTAAATCACAGAGACTGGTCAATTGAGAAAACCAAATTTTTATCTTCTTTATAAATAAAACATTCTCTTGTTGAAACCAAAAAGTTGTTTTTTTGTTTTACCTGAAGTTTAGTTTGTTGCAATATTTCCTGACAATCCCATACTAATATCTTTTTTTTTTTATCGTTACTATTATTGGTTCTTAATCATATGCATCTACCTCCTTTTGTAATTATGAATGTTTATAAAGATCTTTAGCTGCTTTTTGCAGTAAAACAACCTACCTAGATGTATTCTTTATAAGACAAATACAATGTCCATATAGCACCATGTATTCTGTCAGCTTATAGCATTAAACTAGTGCAAATTTGGGGGCAAGCAATCTGGGATAGAATCATGCAGCTAAAAGACTCTGCATCTAATGGGGAGGAGAAATGCTTTTTAAAGAAGCTTTTCCATTTCTCTTCTTTTTATCCATTTAACTAGCGCTTCCGTTTCCTAAAACCAGCAAGCATTTGATATTACCCCATGCACTCAATTAGTAGTTAGATAGCGACAATAAAAGACGAAAACAGAAGTGAAAACTGAAATAAATCAATTGAGAATACATGAAGGTGCTACTGAGGCAAATTAAACGACAAGACCTAGAGGGACAGGGTTAGTCACATGGTTGGCAATGATTTAGACTGAATCATACAGAACAGAGAGAAAGGTAGAGAGAAAGATAGGGATACCTTCCCTCAAATGTCTTGAATAGGCCTCCTACCATGTCTTCTTGCTCAGTCGCTTTCACAAGAAAATATAAATATTATGCTGGTGAAATTTATGCTGCATTTACAAAATCCTGGCCGTTTCTATACTAGCACAAGGCGTGAAGAAAAGCAGGAGCCTTTTCAAGAACACTGGGACAAGGTTTGGAGAGAGATTGAGCGAGTGAGAGAAAGAAAGAGAGAGAGAACCGTAGGGAGAAAAGCCAGAAGATAGACAGAAAGAGGGAATGAATGAAATAAAAGATTGAATAATACACACCAGGGTCTTATAAACTGCTGTAGCATGGGTGCCACCTCTTGAGGACAAACGTAACCAAGACGACCAATTGTTATTGCTAAGGTAACGCAATCACGGTTATACAGCACCAAACGCCAACCAAGACATGAGCGAATGAGGGGGGAGGAGAAAACAAAAAGAAACAAACAAACAAACAGACAGACAGACAACTCAGAAACAGAACTCGACAGAATCTGTGTATGAGAATAAACACAAGATTTCACTAGTGCTCTTCACAGCCCCAGACTACAGGGTCAAATGTAAAATATGACACTAAGAAAACATAGATCTCGTTTAAGGGAGGAGTCTTAGAAAACACGGCTTCTCTTCAGCTCAGAGTTACAGAGAAACGTTCATGTTTTGTTTCAAGTGTCTGCCAAATTCATGTAACATCTGTAGGTGATTTGTATGTGATTCTTTTCCCCCAAATCCCTGTATTACAGATTGAAGACTACAGAAAACAGATTTTCTAAGATTTTCTCCCTTAAACTCACAAAAATTTCTTCAGTAGAACAGAAAAGTCTTGTCTTTCTTTCTGTCTCTTTTGTTTCTTTAAGAAATGCATATTACGCCAAGCGAACTACATGGAGAGGACTAGATTCCACCGGGATCTTAAGAGGCACAGAGGAAGGAGACCTAAGTTTAAGAGACACAAAACTATGCAACATTCTCATTAAAGACAGGCATTTATGAACAGTCCAATGAGACATGCAGAAAGCAGATGATTGGCTCATTAGAGAACGCAGTTCAGTGCAGGATGGGCTGATTCAAAGAATCTGAAACGCAGTTAAGCACTGTTCACCATTATTATATTAATTAGTAATTAAATAGATGATCAAATACTCACAAATTGAACATAAACTCAACATTGTAACATTGATGTAAAACCTGCACCATAAAGAAGACATACACTACCATTCAAATGTTTGGGGTCTGTAAGATATTTCAATGTTTTTGAAAGAAGTCTCTTATGCTTTATTTGATCAAAAATACAGTAAAAAAAAAAAACAGTAATATTGTTAAATATTATTAGAAATTAAAAAGACAGTTTTCCATTTTATACTGTAATTTATTCCTGTGATGGCAAGGCTGAATTTTCAGCAGCCATTACTCCAGTCTTCAGTGTCACATGATCCTTATGCTGATCAATATGCTGATTTGGTCAATGTTGAAAACTGTTTTGGTGCTTAATATTTTTGTGGAAACGTGATACATTTTTACATTCTTGGGTTTAAAAGATAGAAAAAAGTATTTACTGTTAATTTTGATCAATTTAATACATTCTTGCTGAATAAAAGTATTAATTTCCTTCTTAAAAAAAAAAATCTTACTCAACCCAATCTTTTGAACAGTAGTGTGTTAATAGACTTGCACTTAAAACTGTCTAAAAATGATCAGTATGGATTTGTCTATGCCACACGCTTGCTTCTAATTTTTAAAAGGACTTTGTAAAAGTCTTTGCAACATGAATAATCAAGATATCAGCAATCCTGCATCAAACGTTAGCCGTCCTTAACTAAACAACATTCAACATCTATTGGCAGATATGCATTCACATTGAAAAATAAAAGTAACTAAAACAACAGAAATAAATCGACAAACAGGAACACATCTACAAGTACCCTCGTTTATGTGGGAGTATGTCTTCACCCTCATTTAAGAAAAATAAACATCAATCTCAGCAGCCATTACGGCTCAGGCTAGAGTTTCAATTCGAGCAGTCCAATCAGAGTGGAGTGCAACTGGGAAATAATTTGCGAGGTACAGGTGCTATACATTCATCTAAACACCACAAAACAGATTTAGATCTGAGATTAGACGTTTTCTCTGAAATAAATGGGAAAAAATGACTATTTAAGGTTCAAATCTTAGACAGCAGGTCTTAAAACTCCTCTCAAGGTTGATTTACATTCATCGTTGTTTGTAATTTTTGTTTGTAATATCTCACTGACTGATGCTTGTAACCTCATTACGGTGATCTACTCGCTAACATGGAACTCACTGTTCTATTAATCCACTTCAGTCAGTACCATGGCTGAACTGTTACAAGGTCTGTTCTATTCATATTTGAAGACAGGATATGCTGAGGGAACTCAGCTGACTTTGTATATAGAAAAAATTGCTCCTATTCTTATTCACTACCCTGTTACCCAGAATACTGTGCGCACTGGTAGAGATTTTCACATCAAGTATCCTAAAACCTTTATCAAACCTTGTAAGGTCCACTTCCTGGAGTTTGAATGGAGATTAATAAGCACTGCGGAATGGGGACTAGGAGAGTTTGGGAAAAGGAGAGGGTGGAAACCTCTTGTGAGGGGTCAGCCTGGTCTAGTACCCCTCAGATGGTACCTGTATTCTCCAGCAGTGTCTTGGGTGTGTTGGGTCTGTTTATGATCTCCACAAGCTGCTGTAAAACCATCGGGACATACGGCTGCATCTCAGAACCTGAGCAGAGAGAAAACTAGCATGTTAACCTTGAAGGTATGATGAAATTAGAGAAATTAATAAACGAAGATGATGATGAAACTCTCACCCATTTGAATGGATATTTCTCCAATGGCCCATGTTGCATTGTTGCAGACTGATATCAATTCTGGGTTCAGGTTTGTGCCTAAGATAGGCATGAAGTTAGCTAGAGAGGAGAGATTAGCACAAACAAATCAAAGTTTAAGTGCCTGAAGGTAAACAGAGATGGATCAAACTGAGAAAGTGTCAGTGAATAATAACTCCATACCAATGCAAGGTTTGACATGCTGGAAGCAGGCTTTGGTCAGATCTCCCAACAGAGCAAAAGAACTCTGCCGAACCTCTGGCATTTTATCCTGAGAAAATACAACCATCAAAAGATTACCATTGTCACATTACAGGGTTTCTGCAGACTTGAACAAGTTAAATTTAAGACTTTTTAAGACCTTTTTAATACCACCTTATTTGAAATTTAAGACCTAAACCTGTAATGGAAATACACATTTTATTACATACATATATGTAATATTTAATGTGTATAAATTAAAAAGAAAACAAAATATCAATGCTGTAATAAATGGTATTTATTACTATGATATACAGTGAACTTTTCATGTCAGCAGACAATATTCCATTAAGACATTTTAAGACTTTTTAAGGACCCGCGGACACCCTGCATTAGATTTCTCATAGCTGCACGTCCACACAAATGCATTATTTGCATCTCTTGCAATTCATCTGCAGCAGGCAAATGCAAATGTCATTCTGTGTATGTAAAGATTAGATGGTAAATTCAGAGAGACAAATACATTATACAGAGATGATGTTGTCTTCTATAGCTCAGTCGTTACCTAGATAAAGTGGCAAACAGCTGCCGCTAGTACACACTGTGGCACTCACGTTGACACAAACATACAATGGTTTAGATCCAAAGTGTTTTCAACAATGATTATAATAATAAATGTTTCTTGAGCAGCAAATTTAGAGTGATTTCTGAAGGATCATGTGACACTAAAGACTGGAGTAATGGCTGCTGAAAATTCAGTTTGCCATCAAAGGAATACATACAGTAGTCATACATGTGTTGAGGGCTGTCGCTAGTGGGGAGAAAGGTCTAGGGGTGTCGCAATACACCGGTATTGACGATAATCGTCATATTTAAAGAATAAAATATCGTTATCGTATTAATTAGGGGTGTCGCAATATGCCGGTATTGGCCATATTTAAAAATGAATAATACACATAGGACAATATGACACATAATAACCCAGAGCCAGCGCCATTAATTAACTCTAACTCTCACATGTAATTTGTTTCATTCATACTCGACGCCGGAGGGCGCCCTCGCACAGAAAGTCCACAAGCAAGATTCATAGGAGTAATAGAACTTATGACGTTCCAGGAAATCCCTGTAGGCATCCAGCTATTGCTGTAGATGAGTAAAATGCAGAAGAAATTTTTTATCTGATTAAACATGAAGACAGTCAACACAGGATTGCAACAGTATGTGGTTTGTCTTGTTTTTCAAGCCATCTTATTTTAATATACAAGGTAAAGTATTTATAAGGTATTGCTAATCGACATAGCATTTATCACTGTATAGAATACTATTAAACGGGTTGGCAACCTTTAAGACATTAAGTGTCATTTTTCTGGTTAACTACTTTTTGTGGCCACGATAATAGTGTATTGAAAAATCTGATATTTCTACCGACTGCCCGAGTCAGCATGAAAGGTTCTCAGGACAGTTTACGGGCCACTGCTGCACATCGTCACGAAAGCTTATCATTTGCACGTGTTTTTAAGCCTTGCAAATTTAAACATTTAAGAGATTTTAAAGCATTCAAGCACAAGAAGACACGAAATAACTCAACTGAGTACTTCCGTGCTGTGTTCAGTGCGCACACAGAGAGCTGCAAACACCGAATTGAGTTCTCTTTCGCATCTTCTTGAGCATGAACGAACAAATACACCTAGCCATTTTTAACATTCGAGCACAAAAAGATGCAAAAGAGCTTAATTCAGCACCCGCGAGCCATGTTCTGTGCGCACAGCGCACACACAAAGAGCCACGTCTCACAGCCTGTGAACTCCGTATTGAGTATTGTGTTTTCTTGTGCATGAATGGGCAAAATACATGCAAAATTATGTTGAAATACCCATCTTGGCGAGTATCCTCGAAAAACTCTAAAGTGTCTAAAGTGAACGTAAACAGTTGAGAAACTAATCGGACGTGTATCATTATATTGGATCCATGCATTGTATCTTAAAGTGATCGCACTTAATTTATTAGCTGCTGTCAGTGTCCTTGTGTTAATACAAGAAAAAACTGAGAGATAAATCACTCACTGCTCTTGACTGAATTACTTCTGTAGTTTTAACAAGATTTAATCTATATTTAATTTATACAGTGAAGACTGTGCAATGCTATTTTACATTTGATTATTTGGTTTCTGTACCTGAACTTTATTTATTTGTGCTATTTTTAAACAGGGCCCACGGATACAACCTGTATTTGTGTGTGAGAGAGAGAGCTATTTTTTATCTTTACGGTAAACATTGTGAGATTCCATGAGGTTTAATATCATTTAGAATGCTGCTGCAAAAGCACTAGGCAACATGGCAATTGTGTTTGCATGTAACATTCTACCTCTACTCTATGGAATATGTGCCTGATACACAAAGTATTTCTGTGTATTTGATTGTGCAATTACTGGTTTGTTGAGATGGTGGCCCACAGAGTCAGCCAGAGTCCCAATGGCGTCATAGAGGATGAGAAGGTTCTTGTGCTGGTATTTACTGAAAGCAAAGACCAACGTGTCCAAAATAAAAGAAAGGTACGGCACCAGCTCAGTGCAAGCCTCCTCTTCAAGGGTAGCAAAGGCACTGTGGGAGGAAAATTGAAAGTCAGGGATTAAAAGAGTTGAAGGAAAGCTAAAAAGCCTTAAACAAGATGACATGCATGCACGCATGCTTCAAGCAACACAATACTGCGATTCATGCTCACCTGCAGGCGGCCTCTTGGACACGCTTGTTGCTGTCAAGTATCCGTTTGAGTAGTTCAGTCATGAGCGGTTTGAGGTAGATATCGGGGGGCTGGCTAACAACCCAGTGTGCGTAGCGGCTCAGAGTCCAGCAAGTGATGGATCGAACCAGTGCCTTCTTATCAGACAGACACTGTACCAGATGAGGAATCAACTCTGGCAAGTAAGGGATCATCCCCTGCATACAGCCTAAAGCAAATAAAGAAAATTCTTGTCCTCACATGCACAACATCATCGAGGTTAGATCACACCTTCTTCAACCCCTCATTAAAACCTAATATAGCTAAACTCTATTACATGATTGCTGAAAGTGACCTTGACCTTGAATTATCTACTGTCTTGTATAACTTAGTAAATGTTTTTTTTATTTTTTCATAAATTTGGTCAGAAAATCACACAGAGACATTTAAAAATATTACTGTATCTATGTATTTATGATCAAAAGTAAATCCAGCCTTGGTAAACATAAGACACTAAGAAGAAAAATCTTACCGACTGCAAACTTCTGAACATAGTGTAGGTATGTCCATGTTTCCCTTTTTAAATTCTAATGCTTATGCAATGAGTGAATTAAAGAATGAATAGGAAATTTTGGAATACCTTCAGCAATGGCTCCCAGTACAAGTATGCCCGACTCTTTAATAAGCCACTCTGGATGGAACAGTAGTTCTTTCAGTAAAGGAAGAATATGCAACAGCAAATCATCTCTGAAAACATTCGCCAGGACATCTAGTGCAGCTGCAGAACATTTCCCTACACACACCAGAAAAAATAATGCAGACAAAAGCAATGTCTCAATGTACGTCCATTTTAAGAAGACCAGGACTTGGCTGAGTCCGTGTCCATTTTAAAGTGCACCGTTTCTTACTCAAGTTCCAATCTGAGATGGTTTCATCATCATCCAGATCATCTTCATCATCGTCCTCTTCCTCAATGGAGTCTCCCCCCTCGTGTTGTTGGGCCACAGTGCGTGAGCGATGGAACCTTGGGCGAATGTCCTGCTCGTTGTCTGGGATTGCTTCGTCCTCCTCAACGTCACCCTGGAAATCAATTATTCATAATTTTTATTTATTAAATTTTTTTTTTTTTTGACAAGCTTACAATCTGCCATCTTTTTAAAAGCACTAATATGTAATTACATGCTTTCAAAATAAATATAAAATACCAATGTATTCTTAATAAAATGCTTTCTGTATTTATTTAGCTAAATATGTACTTTATAACTCAGTTTCTAAAAGACAGGCTAAGATGTAGAAAATAAAATGCTATTAATTTGTATATGACAAATGTAAACAAATCACATGTAAACAAATTGGCAATGTGGGTTTTTTTTTTTTTTAATGCGGCTGAGCATCGTAACCAAATCACAGGTTTGCTGTGTGTATGAACTCAATGGCAAATCACAGGTGTTTTACTCTTTTATGTTTAGGACGGCATATGAAAAAGTGTCGATCAGTTGATACTCAAAAATGAAGCTTTAGAACCAGAGAGAGAAACTGACCTTCAACAGGATTATGTCAATCTCAGAGTATTTCATTCCATTCACAAGAACTGGTATCAATCTGTGACAAAAAAGAAAAAACTCTGATGACTGATCCTGATAATTTACATCAAATAAGCAGCTTTACCCTGTTGCAGAACTGTATTATAATTGAATGCATCTACATGAGTTGATGTTTTTTCTTTTTTATCAAAAGGACACTGTGTGTTTGTGCATGCTCACTTGGGCAGGTGTCCACACAGAACCTCCTTACACACAGGCTGCTCAGCGAGTGTGAGCCAGAATTCACAGGCCTCCAGAGTGACATTTTCATCCTGATCTTGTGTCCTCTGCAACATGTACTGAAAAATAGAAAAAGGGCTTGTGAGTATTAACACATTGGGCCTTATTCATGAAACATGAACAGATCATATTTTTGTGTAAACTGTTCAAAAAGTAATTTTTACCAAAAAAAAAAAAAAATCCACAGAATGTACCATAACACTTATGTAAGAACTACACAGAAATGAATTTTTAATTTTGTGTTTCATGAATAAGGCTCATTGATTCTACTTTTACCAAACTAGTTAAAGAAAGTCCACAAGAGGCTGCTGTTCCTTTACTTTGCCTCTGTGTGATTTTCTGACCAAATTTATCAAAACAAAACAAAAAAAAACAACAACATTTACTAAGTTATACAAGACAGTAGATAATTCAAGGTCAAGGTCACTTTCAGCAATCATGTAATAGAGTTTAGCTATATTAGGTTTTAATGAGGGGTTGAAGAAGGTGTGATCTAACCTCGATGATGTTGTGCATGTGAGGAAGGAGACGGTCTAATCTGACTTCCAAAAGCATGACTAAAGCTCTGCACACATTCTTCCTCACTTCGGGCTCCTCGTCACCTGACAGTGCAAACAGGTTCTGTGCCACAAAGACACACACATACATATAAAAACATGTTCATTTCTTAGAACTAAACAATGACAACTTCCTCAAAACTGGCATCACAATTCTGGGATCTGGAATAATAGGGTAAGTAAATCATAACAGAATTATAATTTTTGGGTGAACATGTCCAATTAAGGTGGCTGGTTTTGTAGGTGGTACCTCAATGAAAGGATCTATGTGCAGCATCAGGGCCTGTGTTCTGCTGATGATGAACTGGTTGACACAGGCAATGGCATGAGACCTACAACAGACAACAAGCACAGTACATATATCAAACAAGCCTGAACAAATGCACAGCAAGTAGTAGTTTAAATTAGTGTGACTGGTATTGACGATAACGATGATATTTAAAAAATTAAATATCGGCATAGTGTTACTACACATACAATAATATTGTAAATAGTCTAGCACTAGTAACTGGATGGATGGATCTGATTGGCAGGCAAACACAGTAGCTGGTGTTATTGCATCTTAATGCTGGTTGCCACTCATCCTAAAATGGAAAAAGACGACGACGCAGTGCGCATCTACTACTGCCACACAAAATCACGTTGGAAGAGAAGAGATAACTGACGAAAACAAGACGCAGTGTTGGTAGTTTTATGGAATTTTTAAAAAGACAGGGTGTCCCCTAGGAATTCTGGGCCCTGTGCACTGAATTTGCTATGGGGCCCCCTCAAAATCCCATTCTGTGGGGGGGGGGGGTTCCCGATTGCAAAATCACACTCATTGTGTTCCACTATTACCCCCTGTCCAGTCTGATCAATAGTGAGTTCTTTTTGAACACTTTTGTGTAGTTATGGTTACTAACTCTCTCTGCACCTCCTACACTTTTTTTCAGTGTGATTCATTGGCCAAAAAAAAGGTAAAACGCACAAAAAGAAAATCTGATATAATGACAGTCCCTGTCTAAATGAATTAATTAAACAATTAAAATAAAAATAATAATAAAAAAAAAAAAATTTTTTTTTAAATGAATTAACATCTCGGCTCGCAGTTTCAAACATTTGTGCTCCATTAGGGAAAACAGGCTTATCTCACCTGATTTTGGGGCTATTGTGCTTGAAGAACTGCAGGAACTTGGGGATCATCACGTTGAGTGGGCGGTCCAGCATGTCACTGTCCAGGATCTCAGCAGAGTCCTCACAGATCTTTTGCAGGGCTCCAAAAGCCCCCTGAAAAGACAAACACAGCAGGAATGTAACAGACAAATCATACATATTTCCCCTTCTCACTGAACAACCTCAAATCTTTGATCTAGAACACTTCCATCAAAATCAATCAAACTGACCTAACCAGTTGTCACTGTCACACGGTAACACTGAGGCCTTCAGTTGACAGACACTCCATTTCTATTTTTGCCTTGAAGTGCAGTCAGTGCTGCTGAAAATAAAGTAGAATACTTTTGCTGTTGCCTCAAGCTCACAGCTGACTCATGGAGTGTACATTGTAGGTGACATGCAGATTTAATACAATGCAGACAGCCAAAAACAGCTGTAGGTTAATTTAAGCGAAAATGTAAAGCAGAACATGAGAAATTCTGTAGGGGGAGCAGAAATGACATGATAATATTTAAGTAACTGTACAGTAAAGGGTAAAGAAAACATCAATGTACAAGGATGCAACTTGACATTTAAACCACACCTTAACAGAAACAGGAAATAAATGTTTAGGGTAATAACTGAAATCTTCATGGAAGTAACGTGGGTTCTTGGTAAGTAGTCTGTTCAGAAGACACTACAGGTCTGGCTATGTGCATACTAAACAGGTTCATAGGCTCATTACATAATACACAGACAATAATAGTTAATATGGAAACTACTAGTACTATTACTATTACAGTATTATTATTAACCATACACTGTATACATTAACTATATAGAGCACCAAGGATAAAGTACCAGTTAGGAAATAAGAGGTGTAAAGAGTACCTGAAAACCATACTTGAGTAAAAGTACAGATACCTTACAGCAAAAATGACTCCATTACAAGTTACAAGTTACCAATTCCAAAACAACTTGAGTAAAAGTCTTAGAGTATCTGATTTTCAATCACGTTTATCTTCTAAAACAAAACAAAAAAAAAAACAATATCCTTCAAAAAGGTATCTTCAGTATAACGGATAAATAAAATAATGTTAAGTAAAATTCAAAACTGGATGTGCTGGTTTCGGTCCATTGCTGGCTGCAGTCATGTCCTCATCTCACACCTGTGATTCACAACTACTTGCTAAGGAACTCACAATTACGTAAAGTAGCCTTATTGACAAGTTTGGGTGAGTAAGGACAAAATGCACAAGATATAGGCCTAGTACTCTCAGTGCTCTATAGTTGGCGATATCACTTCTTCTGTAGCAGAAAAAGCTAGGTGCCATGCAAAATGTAATGTTTAACTGCAACACTCAAAAACAAATCTGATGTAGAACAATACCAAAGCCAGACCTTGCAGCAGAGGGACCCACCCAACAACATCAACCATCCTCCTGATCTCACAGACATTCCACCTGTAAGGAATCTAATCAGGTCACGAGCACAAATGGTGCCGTGGCAACGAGCTGTCTGGCTCGGCTGTCGCTATGGCAACTGTCTCCACTGTCAGCTTCCACTTGGTTGGAGATGGCATATTTTGAGCTAGAGAGCTTAGAGAAAACAACAGAGGAAGCCACCAGCCCCTCAAGGTCAAAACACAAAGTCTTTACATCTATAAATATTTATATAAATATATACAGTATGTATCTATATCTATATACTAGGGCTGTCAAAAGAAATTCGAATTTCGAATAAAAATCCACATTCTAATGCAAAAACGGTGCATTTGAATTTTAGGTGTGCGTCAGGCAGCCTTATCAGTGGCACATGAAATGCGATGACGATGTAAGTGTCATTGCATTTTAATGATTTTCATAGCTTATCCAGTTGAAGCCACTAAATGCGGCGCTTCTGTGTTGTTAATTACAAATATTGCGGGAAAAGAGAACATCAATGCGGAGAAGATCTTGTTTACGTCAAAACTGAAACCAAGCCGTTCACACAGAACGCACACTTTTTGCATTTTTTAGTAGAGCGACATCTATCACCGGACTCTCAAATGAGTCCCTGCAGGATAAGAGATTGGACAATTATTTGTATTTTAATTTATTACAGTTACTTATATATTATATGAAAACATTACACAAAATACTGTGAGTGAATGCTATAAAATTGTCAATAGCAGATCTGTATATATATGTATGAGTCTCACAAATACCAGGTCACATGTCCAGGTCACATTTCCCAAAAATAATGTTTAAGTATAATGCAATAAATCAATAAACAAACAAACAAACAAAGAAACTTAGTAATAAAATAGTAATATTATTAATATAATATTTGTAGTATGAGGAATTTTAACATGCTTCCTTGGAAGCACTATTACAATTAAAAACCCCAAAATAAAAAAATAAATAAAATAAAAACACATACTTTGCATAAGGAATTTTAAAAATGTCATGTAAAATACATGCATTAATAATAAAAAAAATTAAAAAAATTATTTATACATATAATGCATTTTCTAGAGGGACATCTATTACTGTTGCACTCGCATCTCGCACAAAGTTGCCGCATGTTTTAAAAGCCATGTAAAATTAATGCAAGTTTAACTTTGAAAAAAACATGTCTCAAGACTTTATGGTGGGTTTTTTCCCCCATCCCACTGCATCTCATGTTTTTAAATGTAAACTGTATGATTGGTTTTCCGCCCTTTGTATTAAACTATGCATACATGATACATGATGCTGTTTTGTTTATAGTTGTTTAAGCAACTTAATTATAATTGGTTTATAAACATTATGCACTTTTTTTCACAGATAGTCATGTTATCTTATGCTTTGAATAAACGTGCATTAGTAATATTTTCCTCTTGTGGCCTCAGAAGAGAAGCCAAACGCTTTTCTTCACCCTAACTGAAATTATGCATTTTACATTTGAATAGAATTCGAATTTTGATAATATTTAAGTACAAAATTCGAATTTAGTTTTTCAGCCAATCTGACAGTCCTACTATATACATATGCAAATACAATGTCTTGGATATAATTAAATATTCACAACAAACAATAAATGGCCTTTGGCGCATTAGTAATTACTAGCCAAGTCAAGTCAAGTCACATTTATTTATACAGTATAGCGCTTTATACAATACTGATTGTGTTAAAGCAGCTTTACAGTGTTAAACAGGAAAATAGTTTGTCAATAATGCAAGAAGACAATAACAAAGAGTTATTTTTCAGTGATGTCATCATCCAGTTCACCTTCATATGCATTTCCACATCAGTTTGCTCATATAACGGCCAGTGTGGGCTGTGGCCACTTTCAGCCAATAAACTATGATTCAAAGGTCAGGAGCATCTTAGCCATAAACAAGATAACATATGTCATCCCTGTACATTAAACCCATTACAGAAAGCAAAACCACTTCATGCCCAAGCTAAATAAAGTCATCCCCGACATTCTGGAAATGTCTCTCAACTGCTTTAGACTTCATATAGCAATATGAGGACCCACATGGCATGCCACAACCAAACCAGAGGATCACAGCAGTGGATGGATGCTTTCTCCTTTTTACACCCACACAGCAGTTTAAATGCATTCATGTCCCCTCTGAGATACATAAACTGTGTAAATACATCTAAATGCTATTTCAGATGCAGATTCCAGAAATGTTTTCTTATGTTGGAATGAAAGACACTAAGTACCGGATGAAGTGCTTCTTATTCTTACCAAAAAATACAAAATGGAAGAAAGAAGTTAAAACTGAACACAATCTTGGTACTCAAGCAGTGTATGAACATTTTTTATATATATTTATTTGCTTCTTTTCCATTTTGCCTTTTACTTGTACTTGTACTTTCAATACTTAAGTATGTTTAAGATTTTTAAAAATACTTTTCGTACAATAAATATCACATACTTTAAGACTTTTACTCAAGTTAGTAATATTCTAAACGGTGACTTCAACTTCAAAAAAAGTCATTTTCTGGTAAGATATCTGTACTTTTACTTGAGTATGGCTTTCAGGTACTTTATACACCACTGCTAGAGATGTTGTGAAGCGAGCAATGGAAGTATTGCCTAAACATTCTCCTCATAAAACTTCATAATACTTCAATAAATGACTGAATGCCGCGCTGTGCCATCTTGTTTGCGGTTGCTTAGTGATTTTTATGTTCTCGGCTATGGCGGTGTAACTGCTTACTTCCGGTCACCATAGCGTTCCATTCGCAGCTGTTGCTTAAAGTCCCAAATGTCTCTGGCCTGGCATTCGGCATGCTTCAAACGGTTGAAACATTCTAGAGGTGAACATTCATTGCAGTAGAGGACTGGCTTACAGTTCTCTTCCTCAGCATGCCGTTTGAAGATAGTGTGGGTGTGTGAGAGTTTCCTCATAAGTAACTTTGATGTAACTGCATTTTTCAGGCGCATACACACTACTAATTATAGACGTATATTCTACGTAGTGAAGAACACATGCTGTGTGAGGACTTGCCAATTATTACAGGCAGAGGGTGTGACATTCCACACACACCCCAAGAAATGTAACGTGCATGTAATGACACATCAAAAACAAGAAAACGTATTTGTAATACAGCAATGAGGTAAAATCTAGGTAAAACTGCCCAACCAATAGTGGGGGAAAACAAATTTAGTAAAAATAAAATGCTTTTTTTTTTTGTTATTGAAAGAGGTTTCTTATGCTCACCAAGACTGCATTTATTTAATTCAAAATAATGTAAAAACAGTAATATTGTGAAATGTTATAACAAATTAAAATGGTATATTTTTTCAGGATTCCCCGAAGAATAGAAGGTTCAAAAGAACAGCATTTATTTGAAATACATTTTTTTGTAACAAGTCCTTACTGTCACTTTTGATCAAAGTAATTAATACTTGCTGTATGAAAGTATTCATTTCTTTAAAAAATATTTACTGACCCCAACTTTTGAACAGTAATGTGTTTGAACAGTAAACACCTTTGCGTTTTTCCAGCTTTTCCTCTTTTTATGTACATATGTAAAATAATAACAATATTAAGAATAATAATGTTTTTAAATAGCACATTTCTTAAACTCATGGGCGCTTAAAGTGGTCAGCGTTTTCTTCATTTCAGCTTAAGCATTTTAAAGTACACACATAATAGTTCAAAGATAGACACTTTTAATATACTAGTGCTGGACAGTCTATAGTGACTATATAGAACTCTGGAATTGAATGGCTATTTTAAGGACTTGTTGGCTTTGCCCACATTACTAGACTGAATGATGCATATATTGTTATCCCAAATTTATAAAACTGATTGATCCGGTTGTGGCTTCTGCCTGTTCAATACAGGATTCTAGCAGTGCTAAATATAGGACATATAATGCATTCACATTTACACATACTGGTAAAAAATGTATAGCCTGAATGCACTGTAAGTCGCTTTGGATAAAAGCGTCTGCTAAATGCATAAATTTTTGTTTTGTATTATTATTCATTATTATTAAATTATTTACACTATGTCAGAATTATCAATATTATTACCTAATTAACAGGACAACTCAAAGCAAATCAGAGAGCTGTAACTTGTATAAAGCATTCAGGTGCTCACAGAACTTGTAATTACTTTATAGCAAGCTCAGTTACAGTAATTCTGACATGGCATAAATGCACCAATACCAATAGTGACAGATAACACCAGTTTTCAGTGTCACGTGATCCTTCAGAAATCATTCTGATAATCCGATTAAAAAAATAAAATAAAATAAAAAATAAATCAATCTTATTATTATCAGTTCTGAAAACAGTTGGTGCTGCTAAATAGTTTTGTGAAAACATTGATACAGTTTTCAGAATTCTTTGATGAATAGAAGTTCAAAAAGAGCAGCATTTATATACTTTACAAACCAAAACTTTGTTGATTATAAGATCATCTGAATTAAGATATTACAAAAGGTATGATTTTTTTCAACAAAACGTTAAAACCAAACATCCAGAGCAATAACAAAACAAATAAATCAACGATAGATATATAGAACCCTGCAGAAGAGTTTGATGAGCATGCCCTGATAACGTAAATTAATTTTACATCATGAAGCCAAGCAGAGAAACCTCCCTGTGAAGGTATGTTGTAATACACATAGATCAGCAAACCTCAATTATAAGGCTGAGGCTTTAGATGAGGACGCCTTGAACTACACTACAGTTTTAGACAATGAGTCAGCAACATCCATCAACTTACAGCTCCACTTAGAAGGACAAAGAGAGAGAGAAACATGAGATTACGTGAGATTGAAGAGAAGAAACATGAGAGAGGAGAGAAAGGCCATCACAAAGTGTGTGTTTGTGTGTCTTACTTCACAAGTATTATAGTCCTCTGAGTCCAGAAGTAAACAAAGTTTAGGTAGAAGCTCCGGCCAGTTCTGTAACTCCCCTTTAGAGGCTATAGTCGTGATCAGAATACCTGAGGAACACAAACATATGCACAATAATGCACCATTCAGACCAGCCTATACTGCAGTTCACATAACCAACTGCCAGAAGCAAACATCTACACAAAAACCAAGCTGTTATGCAAATCTGATAACAAAACATTATAATATGTGGACAAATTATACTCAGTTTTTCACTATATTAATCACTGTGTGGGAAAATACTCATAAAAGACTACAAAAAAAACCTACATTTTTTAAACCAAATAAACAAAAAGAGGAGGAATGATATTTTATGCTGTCGATGATGGGTAACCATAGAAACACAGCACTGCATTCCTCATAACAGTCTAATCACAATCACAGAAGGCTAATTTAGGCACACTGTGTATTCTCGGACATAAGAGTCAATAAATGATCTTACATTGAAAGCAACAACACAAAGCCAGACACAGCCCCCAAATCAAAAAGAGCAGCATTTATATACTTTACAAACCAAAACTTTGTTGATTATAAGATCATCTGAATTAAGATATTACAAAAGGTATGATTTTTTTCAACAAAACGTTAAAACCAAACATCCAGAGCAATAACAAAACAAATAAATCAACGATAGATATATAGAACCCTGCAGAAGAGTTTGATGAGCATGCCCTGATAACGTAAATTAATTTTACATCATGAAGCCAAGCAGAGAAACTTCCCTGTGAAGGTATGTTGTAATACACATAGATCAGCAAACCTCAATTATAAGGCTGAGGCTTTAGATGAGGACGCCTTGAACTACACTACAGTTTTAGACAATGAGTCAGCAACATCCATCAACTTACAGCTCCACTTAGAAGGACAAAGAGAGAGAGAAACATGAGATTACGTGAGATTGAAGAGAAGAAACATGAGAGAGGAGAGAAAGGCCATCACAAAGTGTGTGTTTGTGTGTCTTACTTCACAAGTATTATAGTCCTCTGAGTCCAGAAGTAAACAAAGTTTAGGTAGAAGCTCCGGCCAGTTCTGTAACTCCCCTTTAGAGGCTATAGTCGTGATCAGAATACCTGAGGAACACAAACATATGCACAATAATGCACCATTCAGACCAGCCTATACTGCAGTTCACATAACCAACTGCCAGAAGCAAACATCTACACAAAAACCAAGCTGTTATGCAAATCTGATAACAAAACATTATAATATGTGGACAAATTATACTCAGTTTTTCACTATATTAATCACTGTGTGGGAAAATACTCATAAAAGACTACAAAAAAAACCTACATTTTTTAAACCAAATAAACAAAAAGAGGAGGAATGATATTTTATGCTGTCGATGATGGGTAACCATAGAAACACAGCACTGCATTCCTCATAACAGTCTAATCACAATCACAGAAGGCTAATTTAGGCACACTGTGTATTCTCGGACATAAGAGTCAATAAATGATCTTACATTGAAAGCAACAACACAAAGCCAGACACAGCCCCCAAAGGCATAATATTGTTTGTCATGATGGCAATAGCTGGGAGCTCAGAGTCACACAGTAAATGCTTTGTCGGTCCATACTCACCCTCATAATATAAATGCTTTGAAAATAAATAAATAAAACTGCAGCCAACACCTAAAAAATTCATTTTTAAAAAATCTTACTGTTGAGCCCTGAAATTATCTATTATTATATTATATTATACTAACATCAGCTGGTCAAATATTTTGACACATAAGTATATGTTGCTTGAAAAAAAAAAAGTCAAAATTTTTTTTGTTTAAAATAAATAAATCTACAGCCCACACCGGGGGGAAAAATCCTTATTGTTGAGCTCTGAACTGGTTTGGTGGTTGCTTAATAAAGAACCTTCTGTTTTTAAATGGGCCTCAGGCTAATTAAGGGAAAAAGAGAGAGAAACACTGGCAGATGAACTAGTGTTGTTTCTAAACCTGTTCTGTGACCTGGGGCTTGACAGAGGACACAGATACAAAAGGTCAGTGCAGCTAAGCTCCCAGTGCACTTGACAGATTACCAGTGATCTGAAGTCACAGCAGTTATACAGGCACGGCTTCAGAAAACACTACTGAGACTAAACATCTTCTGCTTGACTCCACTCCCTCCCTTCATATCTGATCCATTTCTTCTAGTAATTGGAATATAAGATTAACTCTTAATATAGGCTACTACACAAACTGTCATGGCAAACCTCAAACTGCAACAAACCACAATGCAGACCGGCAACAGGCAATTTCCTGCACCTACTAGCACTGCCTCCCAACACACAGTATGTCTACATTCAAATTAAAGGGTTATAGGCACTGACGCTATCACACACACTTAAGGTTTTCAAATTAAAGAGACCCATATTCCTCCAGATATAACTAATGAACAAATCACATATTCATGATAAATCTGAATAAGTCACATCTCAAATCAACATTATAAATATAATACAATCAATTAATGATAACATCCACATCTTACCTTCTGTCTTTAGCTTTGTGAGCACAAATATTAGGTAGTTGTTGAAGTCCGGGTATTGATTGAGCTGCTCAAGTTTCTGTGGTGCATATTTAAGGAAAAGGCAAACAGACCACAGAGATAAAGGATAATGCAAACAGCAGGGGAAATGTGCATCTGCGCAGGTACTTAATCGACAAACCGCTTGATGTTTAGTTGGATGATTACATCAATGAACCCATGAATATATGAGCCATTAAGGTCTTATACGCCCAATGTTATAATATGCAAATGATGTGTGAATATAATTTAACATCCAGAAAAGTAAATATGAAAATGCACTATTAACTAAAAACAACACAAACATCAATATTGTAACCAAAATCTATGACAAAAAAAAATAATAATAATAATTCAGTAAGTCTGCTTGTGAGAAAATGGTGTAGAAAGTGCACAGAAGAACTAACTCAGGGCCATAGAAAATTATGGTCTCCCAAAAAAAGCAAGAGGTACGTTGAGTCACTGAGGAGTAAATGAACGATTTGATGCTATTAAGTACTTTTATTAGCCACTGGCACATCTCAACCCGCAAATCTGACCCCACAGCTACCATTTAAAGAGAAAAGATTTCTCAAAATATCTTAATTTATGTCCCACACAACAAAGACCTACAGGTTTGGAATAACGTGTGCGTGAGTAAATAATGACGATGTTCATTTTGGGGTGAACTATCTCTAAGTTAAACACTCCCCGCATGACCCACACAGACACCACCCTAATCTACAGCTGAAATATAAACAAACAGCATAAAAACCCCGTGTGTTTCAGATCTCAAGTACATACTAAGGTTTGAGTTAATCACAGGCCAACTCCTCCTGAAACTCCGCCATCCCCTTCAGATCTCGGTCTAAACAGTGAGGTAAAGGATACTTGTTGGACGGATCGTTGCGTGGATGTGTCGGGGGACTGTGATTCCTTGAGCAGCTGTAAGATCTGCTGAAGTCCCTGCTCGTCGGGTTGGTGACGCTAGGCTAGCTTACATAGATGGACTCGGTCGGTCTGGTCCCGGATCACCGCACATCGACAGCGAAAAGCCTCTGTGCTGCACCGGCCGGGTCCTAGCGCCTGTCAAGTCGCTGGACGGAGGGACGTGTCGGGGAAACCCTACATGTGACACACCCCAACAATTGTGTTGTATAAACCCGGCTAGCTCAGTCGGTAGAGCATGAGACTCTTAATCTCAGGGTCGTCGGTTCGAGCCCCACGTTGGGCGAATACTTTATTGCAGACTACATTTGCGGCATTGTTCTGAGAGCATTTATTACAATACATACAGACAAAACAACATAAGGTGGTACAACTATATAGAATATGTAAGGGATTGTTTACCCAAAATGAAAATTCTGTCATCATTTACACACCCTTACTCACATGATTATGAACCTGTATATTTGTCTGTGGAACATAAAATAAGTGTTTCTGCATTTTTTTTTCCTTACAATGGAAGTCAAAGGTAACCAAGACTGTTTGCTTACCACTAAAATTCTTCAAAATATCTTCTTTTATTTTCCACAGAAGAAAGAGTATGTCATACAGGTTTGGAAGGACATGAGGATGAGTAAATGATGACAGAATTTCATTTTTGAGACTTGATTTAACTGGAAAGCCTATGGCTTACTTTATTTTGTGAAATACAAAAGAAACCAAAAGGTAATATAAACAGTTTTGGTTACCACTGACTTCCATATATATATATATATATATAAAATCTCCATTTAGGTTCCACATAAGAAAGAAAGTTATAACAGGTTTAGAACCAGCTAATCTTTAGGCAAATAATTTACTGGTAATTCAACAAAATAGATGATACTTAGACTATTTATATACCTTATACATTTGTTCTGACATTCATTTTACTTGAAATTTAGAAAATGTACATTAACATGTAAAAGCTCGTTGTAAAAGTTTTAAACACGCATAGCATTTTATCATCTGCTCCTTCTGTCACAGGCTGCTGTATATGATGGACAAAAACGATGCATAATTTGCTAGTTTAAGGGGGCGTCACAGTTCACCCACTGACTCTCCTATGTGGAATAAAGACTGAAACATCGCGAATGTCAGATGTCTTTGTCTGAGCTGCATCTGATTATGTGCCAGAAACACCGTGATAACAATACTCGCGCCACTGCAGCTGGAGGTCCGTCTAATCGTAAACTGCAAGCGTCGACCTAGACAGCATTTCAATTTGAAGTGTTCCAAACGCACCTACGATGCGAAGAAATGCCGTCTAATCTAGGTTTTGTACACAACCATAACGTTCATTAGATCAGATGATTGTTTATAAATAGGCTAATTTCAGAGATGTGTGTTTGCTGAAGGCAGTTGACACACAACAGCTGGACCCGCTCAGCTCTAAAGCTTAAAGGGATGGTTCTCCCAAAAATGAAAATTCTGTCATCATTTACTCTCCCTCATGTCGCTCCAAACCTGTATGACGTTCTTTCACGAGTGGATATTTTGATGAATACAGCATTGACACCAATTAACATCCATTGTACGGACTGAGACATTTCTCAAAATATCTTAATTTATGTCCCACACAACAAAGACCTACAGGTTTGGAATAACGTGTGCGTGCGTAAATAATGACAGATGTTCATTTTGGGGTGAACTATCTCTTTAAGTTAAACACTCCCCGCATGACCCACACAGACACCAACCTAATCTACAGCTGAAATATAAACAAACAGCAAAAAAACCCCGTGTGTTTCAGATCTCAAGTACATACTAAGGTTTGAGTTAATCACAGGCCAACTCCTCCTGAAACTCCGCCATCCCCTTCAGATCTCGGTCTAAACAGTGAGGTAAAGGATACTTGTTGGACGGATCGTTGCGTGGATGTGTCGGGGGACTGTGATTCCTTGAGCAGCTGTAAGATCTGCTGAAGTCCCTGCTCGTCAGGTTTCCACTGGCACTCCATCTTGTATGGCTGGAGCCTCCCTCTCTCTCTCTCTCTCTTTCTGTAGGCGTACAGATATACACCCTTTCACATCAAATAACGGCCTCCACCTTGACCTTCAGCTTCAAGTTGTTATCGAGCGGAAGATGGGGAAAACGCCTCTGCGAGAGTTTGCTGTGGATAGAGCCGTGTGAAAATGAGCGTGTGTCGCAGGTGACGCTAGGCTAGCTTACATAGATGGACTCGGTCGGTCTGGTCCCGGATCACCGCACATCGACAGCGAAAAGCCTCTGTGCTGCACCGGCCGGGTCCTAGCGCCTGTCGAGTCGTTGGACGGAGGCACGTGTCGGGGTAACCCTACATGTGACACACCCCAACAATGGCGTTGTGTAAGCCCGGCTAGCTCGGTCGGTAGAGCATGAGACTCTTAAGTTCAGGGTCGTGGGTTCGAGCCCCACGTTGGGGGAATACTTTATTGCAGACTACATTTGCGGCATTGTTTTGAGAGCATTTATTACAATACAAACAGACAAAACAACATAAGGTGGTACAACTATATAGAATATGTAAGGGATTGTTTACCCAAAATGAAAATTCTGTCATCATTTACACACCCTTACTCACATGATTATGAACCTGTATATTTGTCTGTGGAACATAAAATAAGTGTTTCTGCATTTTTTTTTCCTTACAATGGAAGTCAAAGGTAACCAAGACTGTTTGCTTACCACTAAAATTCTTCAAAATATCTTCTTTTATTTTCCACAGAAGAAAGAGTATGTCATACAGGTTTGGAAGGACATGAGGATGAGTAAATGATGACAGAATTTCATTTTTGAGACTTGATTTAACTGGAAAGCCTGATTATCAGAGTTGAATGAAAATGCGAATAAAATTTATGTTCGATTTCAGAATTTAATTAACTTAGTTATACAATTTTAAATACATTTATTAAAATTAAAAAGTTGTCCATTTTTGTTTTTTATTCAAATGTCAACTGGGGAAACATGTCCCAGGCAGTCACACCATATGAGCATTTTGATGTCAACTCAAAGTTCTGGACAGTCAACATGTTGAAATGCTCAATCAATACTAAAACAGTATTTATTAAAAATAAAATGTATTTATACATCTCATGCATGCATGGCATTTTGACCACATACAAAACATACAGCGAGTTTTTTTGTGTGTGTTTTTACATTTTTAAGTATTGTATGTTGCTAATTAACAGGGTTGACAAGTAAATACTCATGGAAATTAAGAGAGTTCACAGACATTACCTGATTGCTGCTCTATTCACATTTCTTACATTTCCTCAAAGAGGAATGCAAACTGCACAAGATCCCAAATTAGAAGAATACCACTTCATTGAAGTGATTCAATTCCTTACTTGATTTCAATCACTGAAGGTAACAAAAGCTGGCGTAAAACAGGAGGAGGTAGATGATGCCAAAGCCTGAGCTTGAATTGGCTGCGTCTTCAGAGTGTTCAGGTCAAGGATATATCTTTGCTCCTGTAATATAATACTCTAAAGATGAGAGTCTTGAACTCTATGGGTTTACTCTAACAGTAGTGTGGACTGCAGAGTTCTGCGAGTCCTTCGGCTGGTCTTTCTTTCCTGCTCCAATATTCCCAGAGGCCTCCTCCTCCTAGAGGGAGTGTGACACAGGAAATCATCGATGGTCAGCTTGGTGATCTGGCCGGCCTCCTCTAACGGTCTCACCACCTGCTCCACCTTCCCCTCCCACAGTCCACCAGCACTCTTTCTCCTCAATACATTAACCTAAGAGAGCAGAAAGGAACAGTCTAATCATTGCTTTTCCTACAATAGGTGTTTGACTTCATTTTATAAGCTGAGGATCCGATATTCCATATTTATGTTTTTATACAAATTACCTGTCAAGTTTTTGGACACCCTCGAATAAATGTAAAGGTTTCACATGATCTTAAAACAAGTTTTTTTTCATATGCTTGAATTTAGCTTAGTAGACAAATATAAAGTACACTACTGTTCAAAAGTTTGGGATCGGTAAGATGTTTTGAAAGAGGTCTCTTATGCTCACCATGGCTGCATTTATGTATTATGCAAAACTACTGTTAAAACAGTAATATTGTGAAATAACATTACAATTTAAAACAACTCTTCTTTTTATATACATTTTTAAAATGTAATATATTCCTGTGATGGCAAAGCTGAATTTTCAGCAGTCATTACTCCAGTCTTCAGTGTCACATGATCCTTCAGAAAAAAAAAAAAAAAAATCTTACTGCCCCAAACTTCTGAACGGTAGTGTAAAATGCTGTATTTTTACAAAAATAAACTTATAATTCATTTGGTTTTTGAATTTTGAAATGAATGAATTGGATCAGCGTTTAAAATGCATCCCAGGGTACACCTCCAAATACAACGAGTCTGGAGTTTTGATTTGTTTTGCATTGCTAGCATTGGTGATTGCATAATTCCATTTGTGTTACTTAATAGTTTGGATGACTTTACTACTACTCTTAAATGTAATAATAATTGTGAGGTGTAAACTGTAGGTGTGTCCAAACTTGACTGGTGTATCTGATATCTCACCACTTCCTGAGAGAACTCTGGTTTCTTCACAAACACTGGAGTCTTTGACACTAGGGCTGTTGTGAGGGCAGAGACTGCTTCTTTCATGGACCCTTTCATAGCCAATATGAGAACCTAGAAACAGAGCAGTTAAACATGCAAGCTCTCTTTCAAAGACTGATTCAGATATAAACACATACTTACCCTTAGGTTCTGGCATAGCCGACTGTCCGTGCTCATGATCTGAGAGTAGAATGCCTGGGCTCTCTCTATATCATTCTACAACATACATCAGGTAAAATGAAAGTGATTTACTGTTAATATATCAAAATACATCATACCGAATATAATATACTGTTAATATAGCAAAAGATGCAGCATTGTCTGTGATTCAATGACAATTCCACAATATCCAAACTCCATTATCTCTACTAAATTCTGATGTTACACCCAACTAGTTGATTTATAAGGCATTACATAGCCTAAATGTATCCTTTAATTTGAAATTAGATATTGATATTTCAGTCAGCTTACCTGTTTGAGAGCAAGAGCAGTTGCAAAACAATAAGCATGGCAAGGGATGAGTTTGCCTTTAGTCTGACCTTCTTCCAACAGGGTCAAACAGATATGATATGACTTTGGGGTGTTCTACCAATCCCAAGATACAGAAACAGACGTGTTCAGTTTATAAATGATACTTATCAACATCTGTTGCACTTGACATTACCTAAAATTACAGTGAGAAACGACTGGCCAAAAAACAAGCCAAAAGATTGTACCTGTTTAGAAAGATTGTACACGTTGTAACTGTTATTGTTCTGTATATGCTGAAATTAGTTTGTCTTTTCTGATTCAAGTAAGCCAGGTAATTATTATTGCCTTTAATACAAAGCATACAATACTTGCTTCTACATTGCCTTTACCAGTTTATAACAAGTAGCAAAGGCTAGCATGAAGGTGTCTTTGTTGAACTGCACTCCTTGTTTTTTCATGTCTCCCACCACCTCCAGGCCACCTGTGAGAACACCATCAGTGATATCACATAGACTGAAGCCATATCACTATCTCATCCAATTTTTTTGTGCCAACAGTAAAGGCAACAGGAGCACAATACAAATCTTCTTGATTGTTTCATACACCAGCAGAATGGAGAGATAAGCAGAGGAAACTTACTTTTGTAACACTGTTTAATGAAAAGCATGTCGATGGCAATATTAAAGGATGTGGAGTCTGAAAAGAATCCTTTGAGAGCCTACGCAAAAAAGAAAAAGAAAGAAAATGTTAAATCTCACTATAATTCATGTACATAGTCATCAAGTATACAGCAATGCTTTTGTACAATGTGTGTTTGTTTTCATGTACTGGATCCATCAGAGTTCTGGCTCCCAGCTCCTCTAAACCCAGCTCATGGCATAACCTCATGAAAAGTGGGCCAAATTTGAATTCCCCGAATGCCATGTTACGATTCTCTTCATGGTACCTGGAAATGACAGAATCATATATACAAAAACGTATCCATATGCAGACATTACACATATCTAAATAATCTCTAATACAAACAAAATAATATAAAAATTTGTTAAAAATTAAGATGAACTTTATGCTTAATGCAATTAAATCACTATGATACTGCTCTTTACGTAAACATAGTCTTTATAATATAAATAGGGTTAATTTCCCTACATGACAAATTATTGAGGCAGTTTTACCTGTACATAGCATTTCTTGCCACAAAAACATCTTCAGCAGACTGGCATAAATACAGAAGTATTTTCAATTCATCCTTTAAAATTAGCTGTTTTTTCTCCATTTTCTGATTTACTGTATCAAAGTAATAACCTGTTAAAAAAAAAAAAAAAATCACATTCAGGGCAAATGAGAAAATGACAATTAAAGGTGCACTCATTTCCTTTTATGTTGTGCTGGCAAATAGGACAGCTGCGGACATGTGAGGCACGAATATTGCAATAGCATCATGCATCACCACCAGCCATGATTCATAAGTCCACAAGTCACATTGTCTGATAACGAGATAATGAGACAAATAAAATAATACTCAGCTGGTCATGCGATCTCAGCATCCGGCCCCTATGAGGTAACCCACTTTCACGTAAAATAAAACTGCTTATGTTAGCCGACTGATATGACTGCACTGAATGCAGTTGCATGTGGGTGTTGATGTTTTTAAACATATTTGAGAAGTTCTATTAATTTCTTTTAATTAGACAAATATGAATGAGTGCAGCTTTAAAGTAATGAGACTGAGACAACAGAAAGAGGTACTAAGTTATTTAAATCATGCCAAATGATGCCTGCCTTTTGATCCTGACACTTGGTGGGCAATAGCAAGTTTCCTCTGCTGAAAATCCTGCAGCTTCACCACATCTTCAGACAAGAGATAACGTTTAGCTGAAAAGAGCATTTGTAAACAAGTCAGTTTCTCACCAGCTGTTGGAAAAACCTTAACCGTGTTAAGTTGTGTCAGGGGAACTGTCATTTGTTTGACCACTTTCATCCCATTTAAGCCCTGTTGAACAACAACAACAACAAAAAATAAACTAGCTAATTTGGTTTTTAGCTGGTTTTGGGCACTTTTCACATGATCAGGCTGGGAAGCAAATTCTTCAGTGATAAATTCTTCAGTCCTCATACATTTTCGTCTGCGAGGACAGCGGTGTTAAT